CCACATTAGCTTTCGTAAATGAATTACAAATCAAACAGCAGGACTTTCTCAATTGACTCTCAATTTATTTTTTGAGCAATACCCTACAATTCCATGGTACGATTTGATATTTTGAACTTTTAGGTCATGTCTACTTTAGGTCATGGATGGATTTGCATATTGAGTCCCTTTTATTCCCTTTGTCATTTCATTTGAAATCTGTCATTATTATTACCCCAAGTATATCTTTACTTTAAACCCTTCTAATATAAAATGCCAAAATGAAAAAGTTTACAAACATTCGTATGTTTGTTTCTTCATGTGTTTATATATATAATATTGTATTTATATTTGGATAATATTTGTTTGTTCTGCTATATATACTTAATAATTTCGAATGTATAAAATATCAAAACTGATTTTTTTTATAAAAAATTGTTTATTAAAAAAAATTCTAAAAAAATGTTATTAAATTTTATAATCAAAAATTTAATTTATATTTATTAAAAATTATATTACAACCCTGCGTTTGTATAGCAGCTGTGGCATTAAGTCGGTTGTTATATTTGGATTTTATTGCAGAGTGATGGAAAATCTACCTCTCACAAATACATTGTTGAAAAAAAGGAAATGAGGACTTAACAGAAAACGTCTATATATGGATAATCATGAGCATATATATATATATATATATATATATATATATATATATATATATATATATATATATAGATATATATATATATATTTTTGAATAGTCTTGAATTTGATGTTGATATATATGTTTAATTTGAGTTTAATAATCGGGCGTAACATCAATAAAAATAGTATGAGTTTTTTTAAAAATTTATTTATTTAAAATCCATACGTTTCGGCTAGCATCTTAGCCATCATTCAGTGGTAATCAAGTTAACTATAAAAATTGAAACTAAATAAATTATATGAAAGGAAATTTTGTGGAAAAACAATAATAATAATAATAGTAATAAAACACTTACAATTTTGTATCCTAATATAGCATATGAAACCATTATTAATCCATGGTATGAGTATGTGCACATTGATAAGATATATATTTTTTAACACAAACATCACAAATGGTAAAACACACTAATAATCATGATAACTTAACAAGTTGTCGAAACTATGTATTTACTCTTTGGAGTTTAGGATAGAAATGTCACATTTTTCTCAAAGCAGTTTTTAGCATGTGTTGATATTTTTTGGAAAATTTAAAAGGCGATGGGATTTTGTTATTTTTTAAGGAATTTTGACACGCTATTAAGAAACCACGTGTTCGTTTCGATAAGGGCCGTATTGTCATTGCGTTTATTTATGACTCTGTCGTTATGTAATTGTAAAAACAACCCCTCAGCGAATCTTCTTTTAATTGTATTCTCTTCAAAATGTAAAATTTTAGGGTTAAAAAAATCGATATTATGATTTAAATTTTTAATATGCTCAGTTAACATTGTTTTAAATTGCTTAGGATTTTTTGAATTATTTTTGTGTTGATTAAGGCGTTTACTCAGGTTTTGGCTAGTTTCTCCAATATAAAAGAGTTCGCAATTAGAGCAATTAATTTGATATACTAAATTCCTGAGGCGGTCAAAATTGAACTTAGATTTCATTTGTGTAAAAGTTGAACTAAGGGTTGCATCACAATTACATACCAACAGAATGCCACATTGTTGAAATAGTTTTTTCCACGAGAAATATAAATCTTTTACGTACGGTAGGCAAATGACACCAGTATATGATTCTAAGTCTAAGCGGTTTTTATGGTCTGTGAGGTCTTTTTGTTTGTTAAAAATGTAACTGCGTCTGTTATTTATGACCGAGTTGATTATGTTCGTAGGATATGAGTTGTTTTTCAGTGTGTTTATAACCAGGTCAATGTTCGTGTCCCAGAAGTTTTTGTCAGATAGTAATATGGCGTGGTCTGTTAAATTTATTATTGTCGCAATTTTCATTTTAAGAGGGTGGTATGAGTGGTAATTTATGTATCGTCCGGAGCTAGTTGGTTTCTGGTACCAGTTAGTAATTAGTCGGTGGTCATTTGTACGTACAAATGACCACCGACTAATTACTAACTGGTACCAGAAACCAACTAGCTCCGGACGATACATAAATTACCACTCATACCACCCTCTTAAAATGAAAATTGCGACAATAATAAATTTAACAGACCACGCCATATTACTATCTGACAAAAACTTCTGGGACACGAACATTGACCTGGTTATAAACACACTGAAAAACAACTCATATCCTACGAACATAATCAACTCGGTCATAAATAACAGACGCAGTTACATTTTTAACAAACAAAAAGACCTCACAGACCATAAAAACCGCTTAGACTTAGAATCATATACTGGTGTCATTTGCCTACCGTACGTAAAAGATTTATATTTCTCGTGGAAAAAACTATTTCAACAATGTGGCATTCTGTTGGTATGTAATTGTGATGCAACCCTTAGTTCAACTTTTACACAAATGAAATCTAAGTTCAATTTTGACCGCCTCAGGAATTTAGTATATCAAATTAATTGCTCTAATTGCGAACTCTTTTATATTGGAGAAACTAGCCAAAACCTGAGTAAACGCCTTAATCAACACAAAAATAATTCAAAAAATCCTAAGCAATTTAAAACAATGTTAACTGAGCATATTAAAAATTTAAATCATAATATCGATTTTTTTAACCCTAAAATTTTACATTTTGAAGAGAATACAATTAAAAGAAGATTCGCTGAGGGGTTGTTTTTACAATTACATAACGACAGAGTCATAAATAAACGCAATGACAATACGGCCCTTATCGAAACGAACACGTGGTTTCTTAATAGCGTGTCAAAATTCCTTAAAAAATAACAAAATCCCATCGCCTTTTAAATTTTCCAAAAAATATCAACACATGCTAAAAACTGCTTTGAGAAAAATGTGACATTTCTATCCTAAACTCCAAAGAGTAAATACATAGTTTCGACAACTTGTTAAGTTATCATGATTATTAGTGTGTTTTACCATTTGTGATGTTTGTGTTAAAAAATATATATCTTATCAATGTGCACATACTCATACCATGGATTAATAATGGTTTCATATGCTATATTAGGATACAAAATTGTAAGTGTTTTATTACTATTATTATTATTATTGTTTTTCCACAAAATTTCCTTTCATATAATTTATTTAGTTTCAATTTTTATAGTTAACTTGATTACCACTGAATGATGGCTAAGATGCTAGCCGAAACGTATGGATTTTAAATAAATAAATTTTTAAAAAAACTCATACTATTTTTATTGATGTTACGCCCGATTATTAAACTCAAATTAAACATATATATATATATATATATATATATATATATATATATTCGTTTGCATTTCTATTGCATTAATAGAATTTGTCTCGGTATGAATAATATCAAAGTTTTTAACTTTAAGTTATTATATTTATTTTATTACTGTGGCAGATGTTTTATATTTTTAAATCCATTTATCGTCGAATGAATAATAATTATATATGTAATTCTGTAAAAAATAATACGAAAATATTTTTATATTTAATAAACAAGTAATGGTATAAATTTAGCTTCAAAATTCTCTACCGATTGCTATTGAACAAAATCGTCTATGATCATTAGGGTTTCTTACCATATCACAGGATTCCACCAGCATTGCTGTAGCCGGATTTCCCATGCTTTTCTAATGCAAACGTCCTGGCAGTCGCCCGATGCACTCGTATTCAAATGTAATATTTTATAAGTCTATGTTTCACTAGCCCTTAATGACGAAGATTTCAAAAGATTCAGCTTTAAAAAAATGTAAAAGACATATTTCAAACGTTATAAAAGCTTTTATCGCAAGCTGTATAAACATGAATGATTGAAAATATTTTGTGTACGGCATATACCGTTGTTCGCTCCAGCTGCGTGTGACGGTAACTTGTTCGCATATAAAAGCTCTTACATTTTTATTATGCGTTATATTTAGCGCATAAAAGCTACACAAATGATCACATCATTGGAAGCACTACAAGCTTCTAGTAACTATTTAGCAGTAAGCTAAACATTCGCATTATTTATTGTTAAATTTTAATATTACTATTATTTTTGTTTCAGATGCTGTATATTTTAAAGAGGATGAGATAATAAACCAAAGTAAACTTATTATTTATAATTATTTATTTATTTAATTTATTGAAATTTAATGTAACTATAAAACATTTTAATAATTATTTTAAATTATTTAGAATAGTAACTATAAAGTAACGATAATGTAACAATCAGAAAATTGTTCATAAACTTAAGAGATTTATATTTAATATATGAAAATTAATATATTCTACGTTGCATCGCATATAAATCACATTAAATTAAAAAAAGAGTTTTTTGCTGAGTAATTACAAAACTTATAAGAATCAATATAAAATTTGCAAAATTATCGAAGTTATTTAAGATTAAAATAAAAATAAAAGTACAAATAAACGAGAAAGTCTGATAAATGAAACCAAATCTATAATACAATTTAACGAAATATAATATAATCTTAAAAATCCTATTTTTAATAAAATAGTTCACGGTTTTCAGAAGCTAAATATAAGAATATTTATAATAAAGTACAACATTGTATACCTCGTTACATAAATGCACATATTTAATAAACTATTTAAATAAGACTTCAAATATAAATTTAATAGTGATTTGATCAAAAAAATGCCAAATAATAATTTAATAATATAGTGTAACCGACAGTGCGTAACGAATAATATACCTCATGATAAATTTTGGTGAATAATCGAAAGCATTTAAATACTATTTTTCCAAGTATTACCACCAAAGACTCCGTCTAGTGATTAGTGATAAAAAATAGTAGTGTCACTGTGTTATAGTGTATCGTAATCGATTAAGTTATTTATTTATTGATATTGAGATTAATTTTTAATATCGGGTTCGAAATATTTGTACAAATACTCAAGAAGTTTAAGAAATGCGCTTAAAGTATAGCAATTTGTCTATGGTGTCTTGAACATGTTCGGGATAAAGGAACAGCCTGTCAGTGCCTTTTTTGGCTTATCGGCTGAGGAATGAACTCACAGCACCATAATCCGACCATTCTACCACAACTTTCGTTTGAAATGGATACGACAGACAACCAGCGTCTTTACACGGCGACGGAGCTCAACAGTTGGGGAGATTATTACACGTCTTCAGCAAACGCGGGAACTCTGCTCGGTAAGAATTTGCGAATTTTTAATATCGGCACAATAAATTTTAATAAGCTGCGGATTATGATCCTGTGCGTTACATTGAAAAAGAATAAACAAACAGAAGGCACGTTTTTGTTTAAACACTATATTTACCATCATAGTGCTATTGATTTACATTGACCAGATGGCGTACCTTATATGATTTTAATATCTTACTAACTGTTATTAATGTTGCATATTCATATAATTATTAGCATTACGTTTATTTTTGAATTACTATGTTTTTACGATCAATATTTTAATAAGTAACATAAATAAAGTAATGAATTTTGAAATATTAGAAATCAGAAGCTTAGCAATTCCTACTTATCCAAACATTGTGGTGGTCGCCATTAATTTATGTATGTCTTAAATTTTGTGTTGGCAATTATGTAAGTTAGTAATTTGAAACAAAAATCACAAAACGTCTTTAGAAGTCGCTTTAATTTAAATGAAAAATGAGTATTCCTCGATGCATTTTATCGGCTTTTATAGGTCCAGCCGACTCACGTGAACGATCTAGCGACAATAATGCCCCCCAGTACCGACCGTGGGAGTCTGTTGACGGCGGCCCATTGCCTCCGGGGACACCCAAGGAGGTTTTATTGAGAACAGGATTTTCGGGAGTGATGGGTAACAGTCAACCTCCTCCAGACTTACAACAACCTGTTAGCAAACTTCCATCTTTTCAAAGCCAATTCAATGCATTCCAGGTTTGTCAGAAATCTCTTTTTGAATTATTACTTTATAATATTAGTTGTATATTTCAACATGATATTATCTATGTAAGTATTATGGTTGAAGTGCCTGAAAGATACATTTTTATATGTTTTTATACTGTTTTTAGTATTAACTCAGCAATGTTTGATATTGTTACATATCTCTTTTGCTAGTTAATAATATCAAGTTCATTAATTATAAACATTTTTTGTTAGTTTCAAAGAACAAAACAAACATACACTATTTCTAATCTAAGATCAATAAATTTATGTGCGTTTGAGGTACTATCCTTTATGCAAAAGCAATGTTTTTTTTTGTAGGACGCAGGAATGACTCCAGAACCTTCACTCACGACGTTAACTCCTGTGCCCGTGAGTCCTAACTCCAGTACTAGCCCGTCAGGTCTTTCGGCGCCCCATTTAACGCCGCTAAGCACGGCGCCTGTTTCGACTTTGACGCAAATAACACAGTTAGGTACGGGTTCTATGACGCCCGCATTTCACACGATTGCACGAGGTTACCCCTTGGTTCCTGCACCAGTTCAAGCCAGGGAGGTTCCGGCAATCAATCAACAATACCTGGATGAAAGGCACATACAGCTATACCAACCAGTATTTCAACAAACCGGTCTAGTCACAGTTCTGAAGAATGAACCAGCTCATTTTGATCTCAAACTAAGGCAACAGGTTTGTGGTGATAAGATTAAACTTCTAAGTAAATAACTATATTTTTATTATTAATACCACTAAACAGGAGAATGGTTATTCATCACCGCACTTAATAACATCAGTCGGCCCTGCGTCGTCTGGTGACAATCGCAAGAAAGAGCGACGGAAAGCCCGGGCGTCTAGTCTGGAATCAGCTACTTCCAGTCATCAGTCCGATGATCAGGTGTCTTCCAATGTGGAAAATGAGACGCATTCAGGACAAGTCGCCGCAGTCAGTTCGACGGCAAGTTTTAAGTCACCATTACATCACGGCGGACTAAGTACCGGCAATGGGACGAATGGTCAAGGTAACGGTATGGGCCGGATGATGGACACTGACGACTTGGGGCCGGATAAACAGGTAATTTTTTATTACATGTTCTAATTTGCTATCGCCTCAATATTTTTATATTACAATAGTAATTAAATCTATTTAAGCAAATATATAGCAATTATAATATATAATCTCTTTGCAGGTGAAAAAGAAACGTAAACGTTGTGGTGAATGCGTCGGCTGTCAGCGCAAAGATAATTGTGGGGATTGCGCTCCGTGCCGTAATGACAAATCGCATCAAATCTGCAAGCAGCGCCGATGTGAAAAGTTAACTGAGAAAAAGGTATGTTTGATTCATTATATATATATATATATATATATATATATATATATATATATATATACATATAGTATGTGTGTGTAATAAATTTAATTTCATAATTAAAGTTTATATCACCCGTCAAATGTAGCACATGTGGATACGATTGCGTAAATGAAGTTAAATATAAACTAGTTGTAAGTATTTTTGCCTTAAGTCAAGTTGCTTGAACTTTGCATTGTCGAAAATTATTAAATATTTTTTAATTTCCAAAATTACCGCAAAATTGTTTTCATCAATAATTCCGCAGAATTCAATTCAGCAATTTTCGATCAAGACTAAATCAACACTATCATGAAGGGCAAACTTTTTTATAATAGGTTTTAAATTTACATCGAACAAAAACTAAAAACTGAGAAAACATAAAATTAGCGAATCTGATTTTCGGGAAAATATAAACTTTTTCCTTTTTACTGAACTTGTTAACTTGGATAATTTGCTGAGGAAAATTCTCTAGTTATACATAGTTTCCATATCATAAGGTATTTCTTACTTTTTTGCTTTATTTATTTGTAATAATTTTCATTTTCAATTGTTTATCACCATGTTCTTAAATTTCTTTAATATTTATTTTATTCATTTAAAATTTTAATTATAAAGAATCTACATTGAAATTAACTTATGACGCTCGAACTTATAAAGTAGAACTTTCGTCATAAGCCCATTGCATTAGCGCTTAAAGTTGTATCGTAGTGATTTGATTTTTGTGGGATGCAGTAGTCTAACTAGATTAGTGCTTACTTAATATTATGTAGAGCGTTAATTTAAATTTGATACAATATTAATCAGAGTTCGTAGCACAACATATGGTGTATTTTGTAACAAAACTAAGTATACGGAGTAAAGCACATAAATTATTATCATCTAACGTATCTAACTATCACATATTACTAACACATAGAAGATGCATGTGCCATATGTAGTATAGTAACGCATATGTGTCCGCATTAACACACGTTATGTTCTATGCATTTGTGTGCGTCAGCGCGCATCTGTCGTTGCTTTCGAACGACAGCTGGACCTTTTCGTCGTTGTGTATATTGCGCTAAGCACACGCCAAACAACATCCTTTACCAAAATTGTAACGGTGACAAAATACACGATGCGCTCCACACAGTACAAAATGAAAGAGATTTTTCTTGCTACCAGCCGAAGAAGTTTCTGCCAGATGTGCTGTTTTTTAACTTAAAATTTTAATTTATGACGCCGCAAACACGAGGTGATTTTTGTCGCTCAAGTTACCCGAAAGAATTATAATTTTTTTGTTAACATTAGCCAGGCATACAGTATATTTATTACAAGAAATTATTTTTCAAAGTTTTGATGTTTTTACGTAAGAAATAATTCATTAAATATTTTCGCTACTATTGTTAAAATTAAAACAATAAAATAGTTTTAATTCTTTTTAACTATAAAATTTGAAAATTCTCAAATTGGGATGGCAAATTTAATCATTAGCGTTTGAAAACCGCAAAAGATTCAGTAATATCATTTCAAGATCATATATGTTTTTACCCTAAGGTTGCCCGTTTACAGGCAGACCATGCGTAATGATTATTTATCAATGGCCTACTATGTGAAATTAACCAGTGTTAAAGTTTTATTATGAGGCATTATTTTTTACTAAATTACTGTTATATAATTAATATATCGGTTTTACATTGAATTAAAATCAAATTAAAATGCTTTCTTGAAAGTTATCGGCTTTTCCTGGGTACAGAGAGAAGCACGTGCTTTACTTCGAGTTACTGAAATACAGTTTTCCCAAATTATTGTATTTTTTTAAGTAAATAAATTAATTAATAAATATATATATGTATATATATATACCTATATATATGTGCACTCATATATATTAGAGTAAGCTCGTTGCCGCATACGACAATTTGAATTATATAAAATGTATATTTGTTACATATTAAATTTTGACAAAATATGCAACTATTTTTCGATTTCATGATTCATGCCGGTTGAACAATTTATGTTCTAGATCAACAAGGCACAGGGATCAAATATTTTTTATAATTCAACTAAGGTGAATGAACCATAATGTTTAGAGCTTTCAAATTCCGCTCGCGCAGCAGACGCTATTATTAATAGGTAACTTTTTTCAATTTTGCATAGGATATACAACTCCATATCCGAAAATTGATTAGACATACTATATTATTAATTTTTGATTATATTAAACGGAATTAAATCATACATTATTTACGCATAATGCGTATAACATGATAAGCGTTTTTAGTATGGTTTCATATTGTACCAATAACTATATTGCGATTTGCTATGACTTATCTATCACAGCTTACAATAAAGTAACCAATTATGTTAAAAATATAAACTATATTTCATGAATATGAAATAATGATTAAGTCTTATGTTTTTTGTGAACCATATCTGACATAAATTGCGCGTAGTATACCTTGTATTTAGAGCTTTTTGACAATGTTATATGTGGTCAGTTTGTTTCCTGACAAAATGAAGGTAAAACACAAAATTCGATACATTCTCAATCACTTGCAAAAATGGAAAACTGGGACTGACCAAGATCAGACAATATTTGCTTCTACTCAAAACTTGCTATGTCATTGAACTTATGCAATTCCTTAACAAAATTGAATTAAACGGTTTATATTTGATTTTTTCAATGATTATTATGTTTGGTGATGTTTAGTATAGTACCATTTGAGATGAAGTATCATTATAAGCGTTCACAAATGTATGTTGGCATAAATATCAAGCATTTAAGCATTTACTCGCACCCTATAATCACTTCTCATATATTATCAACAATCAGTACTTCTAGAATTGTATAAAAGTTTGAAAAGATTACCAACCAGGATGTGGTACATTTTCATGTTGAAATTATTAATTTAATTTTATGTTAGGCAGACTCCGATTTCATTTTGAATAGTGTATTTTAAGTTATGCTTATAAATTATTGATAATCAACAAGAAATATTTACTCAAGTGATTTTTATTATGGTATATTTGCATGATACTCTGTATTCCGATGTTTAATTGGCTAACGGTCGTATACGCGAAAAGCACAACGCTGTGTTGTCAAATCATTTTAAGAACTTTCATTCTTTGAATAACTTAACGTACCACTCAGCTGCAAAATTTAAATAAATTAATGACATTAAATAAATTCTGTGAAACATGCAAGTGTTTGTGAGCATTGGATATTTTACAATTTTCAATTCTCTTTATTCTTGAAACGAAAAATTATGTTCTCCGTCAACATCTTTTATGCACTTTAGCAGTACACGTATATTTTTCGTGATTATATGTGATCATTTGCTTTAATTTTCTATCAAATTATAACAGATATTGTTGATTTAAAGCCGAGTACATTTTTTCCTAATGTATTTCTAACTCGCAGCTGGCTTTTGGCAGACAGATGTTCTTATACGTGCCTAATATGTATATAAATATACATACATATATATATATATATATATATATATATAATATGAAAGAACATAAATTTTAGTTTGTAGCGCAACTAATTTTTAAATCCCCTCTATCAGTTGTTATTAACATGATTATTTTTTATATGGATGTTACATTACATTTTTATAAGACGGCACACGTCTTTTAGTATCTTCCAGTTTTAAAATGTTTGTTTAAATACGATGCGGACATTTTCAAGAATTGGTTCAAAGCAAATATAGCTATGAAATTCACAATTTCAGCATGTTTGATTTTTTTTAAATTTTTGCCTTATACATCTTCACATCAAGTAAGAAATATGTGTATAGAATGGCTGATGACAGTTGTTTGCAACAAAGAATATCAATTCTTTGGACCTTCCACTATTTACTTTCCTTCTCTATTGGCTATTGTGATATAACTTTTTTTATTTACTTCTTTTATATTTTTTTGTTTGCCTTATCAGCTGTTCGACCAGCTGGTTGGATTTAAATGTGGTACTTTCAAAGGTAATAAATTACATTTTGTTATAAATTGTTCATTTATTTTAGAAACTATTAGATTTTTTATTACGACATGTGAGTGCACATTCAGTTTTATTACCATACGAGTTATTTAATATTTTCAAAGATTCACCTGTTTATTGATATTATAAGTTGATGTCAATTGAAGTTAGTTGTAACTGTTAGGGGGCATTAATCATGTAACCGATTTTCAAGGATTTTTGGACCTCCCTTTCCCTTGGTAATACGTTGTGATATTTAAAATCACTCCCTCCCCCACCAAACATCACGTGTATTTTTAGTACCTAGAAAAAATCGTAAGATTTTGGAATTTTTCGAAAAATTTAGATTTTTTGTAAATTGAGGTCAAAAATAAATACACGTGATATCTTACTAGACCCTCCCCTCATCCATGAATATTTCATTAAATTTTTTCAAACCCTCCTTTCCCTTTAAGCCTCACGTGGTTAATGTAGGCTCCCTTATATTAATTGTTCATTTCTGGGCAAAATTTTTGAAGAATGCGTTATCATTTAATAGTCAGGATCTTTATTTCTGTTCATTTTCCACAGCCTTTTATACTTCTTTTAATATACCATGTGTAGTTTTCCAAAAGATTCCTTTATAACAGGGCTTCTTAAAAATTTATCATTCACGACCCCGATTATGATCGCAAGTTTCTTGACGACCTCATACAAATATAAAAGAAAAATAAATTAATATTATTTGCTGATTTATTTATAAGGTTACAATATACATATGCAAATACATATAAAACTGCCAACTCTAGTGATGTTATAAAATGTTAAATCCGCGAATATTTAACATTAAGATTTCTCGCGACCGCAGATTTTGCTACGCGACTCCATTTGGGATCGCAACCCATAGTTTAAGAAACCCTGGTTTATAACATATGTCGATGGACTCCTCCGACCACCATTAATCGCATTTATAATTTTAATAATATTTGACAACAAGTTATAATATTATGTATTTAATATGCTTCTATATAAACATATAACG